CTTTTCTAGTTCCTATCTACTGTTCCATATATCTAGGTCATTACATCACGTCTGATCTTTTCTCTCTTATTTTCACCAAGAGGCATTCAAAAAGTTTGTTTCTCACTTTTTCCAGAACTTTAGAAAAATTATTACTATTACTGTCATAAAATGTATGTCTCCTTGCTTTTTCCCCCGCTACCTTTTGGGGAACAAGTTAGATCAATATTCTAGTCATATGATTTATTCAAGCACTAACTCATTTCAGAACTGAAACACTTTGGATGTTCGGAAACATTTTTCTTAGTGTCCTCTTAACCAACCAGTCAGCCATATCTTATCTATAAGCTCTGCTGGAAGAAGTAGTGACTTATATATCAGGTCTTCTCTTTCATTAGATGAGCAAGAAGAGGTGATTTTTTTGTGTTCCAGATTATACAACACATTACAGTATACTATATATTCTCAGAAAAATTAATGTTGATGTTAGATGATACAAACAAAAGGACATGGGGTGAAATTACAGAAAATTAGTGGAGCAGGAAGGATCAGGTTGTCTGTAAGAATCACAATAGCCATGGAAAGTGGAGAATATCAGGTCACTAGCCTGGCCCTTTTAGAAGATAGAAATAATAGTACATCACGCATATGAAGGCTCTGCACTCATAAGCCCAGTTGTGATTCACAAGGAACAGAGTTTGTCTTCAGTGGAAGACTTCAGGGAAACAGATAAGTGCAGCGTATTTGTGTCATTACATGTAAAGCCTGATCCTTGAGGTTGCAAATATTTAAACTCATCTATGTATTTGAAGCTTTTTGAGTTTTACAGCTATTTTACCACCAGAACTTTCCCAAATATAGTGTTAGTACAGGTAATTCTGTTAATAGAGAGTAGCTGGTTTCTATCTACGGTGATATGTCTTCAGGTGCTACAGAAAACAAACAAGAGTATGGATGAATACTTCCAAACTAATAAATGAAATAAACAGTGCATTTTCATATCTGGAAAGAATGTACTGCAAACAACAAAGTGCTAGAGAGAATATTTTAAAAGTGCAAGGTAATAGTATTTTGTACCGATATTTTTTTTTTATTATTAAATATATGATGAAACTAATATAACAGTATTTATATCTATCATATTTTACAGTCTGTTCCCATAGTATTTTATGCAGCCAGCTTAGTCAATTTTCCAGTACACAGTGTCAAGAATGTCAGATAATATACAGTTATCAGACTTTTCAGTAACAGGTATTTCCTCAAAGCTGGTGGCTGAAGTATTTTATCTGACTTACAAAAATGTAGACCCTATGTTTTTTCAACTATTTTCTTCATTTATTTAAATCCTTTCAATAATGTGTGCTAATGAATGATGCCGAACTGAGCCTTGTGAACAGTTCTTTAAGAACCACAGGATGTGTAAAACCACACACAATGAAGTATATAAAGTGGCACAAACACTGTTTGCTTTCAGACTGGCACATTCTGGGCCCATCACTGGGATCACACACTTGCCTATTCATCCCATTCTGTGAAGGCAGTTACTACTGATGCTAGGGGCTTGAGATGTTGATTGACAACTGCAGTAGCCTATTTCATATTATATTTTTCTCCCCGTGGTCTTGATAGCAGGATGCTGAACATTCCTCATACTTATTCATTACTTAATTGTATCTGTTTCATAATCATTAATGCAGGCCAAATCTTGCCAATCCTAATCATTTTATTTAGGTTGAAGTTGTTGGGATTACTTACATAAGACACTTGGATGTGATCCATCATAAAAACTAAATTACCTCATTGACCTGAGATTGTGTCCAGAGAAGATCCACCTGCCTAGGGCAAAGCCACTAAAGTTAAATATCTTTTCACTCTAGTGTAGGAAACCTAACAAACTTCAGAAAGGTTTGAGCTCAGGAGGAACTATCTAAAATCAAACTGTTCTAAGGCCCTCATAAATCTCTGCTCATAAAACACCTGCAGTGCAACCTGCAGCATTTCAGCTATTCTTTTCTTGAGTACACATGGTCACTCAGTTTGAAATGTGTGGTAATTTTGTAACGTGAGTTGTAATGAGTCCATATCCATTGGTAATGTAAAACTGATGGAAAGATTTCATGCTGCTTTTGTATGCAGGGATGCAGGTTTCTGTTTTACAGCTGCCAGTCGTAGAATAGCCTGAAGCAAAAGGCTGAGTGAGGAGAGCAGTCTCACGTAGCCATCAGGAAGTGCCAGGCATGGAGCACCCATCCATCTATCATTGTTACATCAGGCTCCAAACAGAGCAAGTAAGCTTCCCCAGAGCAAACTGGTTTATCTGCTGTAACGCCTTACTGGAAAGAGGTATAACATGTGAGAGAAATCTCTGTCCCAGTGATTAGTTAGTTGTTTTTTTTTCCTCACATGTGGGGAAAAGTTTCTCATACCATGTGTCACCTGGGTTCAAGTCCTTCTAAAGAACCAGACAGGGAAAGCTGAAGACAAGGCTTCTGTTTTCTGCCTCTGTGCCACAACTGCAAATGACGGTTAAAGTGCTAAAAATGCATAAACTAGGAAAAGTCTAGTCTGAGCAACCTGGTCTAGTGGGAGGCGTCCCTGCCCGTGGCGAGGGGTGGGGGGTGGAATTAGATGATCTTTAAGGTCCGTTCCAACCGAAACCAGTCTGCAATTCTGTGAAAAGTCCTGTCCCTTCCTCTTGGGTTATGCATGGCTTCTGCTTTCAGACACAGACAGGCTTAACGATTGTAGGTGCTTAGGTAGGCATTGAGCTGGGATTTTGAGTCTTTTTTGTGAAAAAAACACAAGACTTTAGCACTCAAAGGAGCATTTCTCTGAGAAATTTTTCAGTGGAAGGTGTCCCTGAAATCAGGCATTTTAAGCTGAAATTTTCCTTAATACCTTGCCTAGGAATGCATTTCTTGATAGACATTAACACTTCCATGACCATCCTTTCCACCCATTCAAGACTTCCCACTTCTGATTTTCCAGCTAATGACCACAGGCAGTTTTACAAGTGTGAAAAAAATTTGGTCTGAAAATTATAACAGTACTACCAAGTAAATATTGGCAGGTGTAGGGTTCATAGAAGACTGTCACCTTTGCAGTGAAGTGGAGTTCCTATTGATGATGCTGTGGCCACCAGACCATGCTTCTGATCTACATACAGCAGTCTTGTGTGTGAATTTAAGGGCTAGGCACTACCACCTTCTGTTAGGTGTTCTTGACAAAGAGTAGAAAAGTCTGCCTAATAAAAGCTTCTGGGCTTTGAAAGAGGGTTCTGTGAAACATTTGATTTGAAGATTGTTTTTACTTAGACATTGTTTCCTGAGGTCTTCTTTCCTCCCCCTGCTCTTTTATTGTGAAGACATTTATATGAATGCAGACTCTAAGTTTCCTAAGGGATCATGTGCCCTTGCTCCTTATTCTCCTCATGAAATCACAACCCTCTGTTTGTCACAGCATGGTAATTTCCATGGCAAACAGCTGTGATGTCACTAGCAGAAGCTTATGATTTCAAGAGCTGTTTTGCTTTTAAATATAAAGTTCCTATCTTGTAAGCAAATATCCCTTGTCCAACTAAACACTGTAATTAAATGGGGACAGAAAATACATGCTGTGGAAGCAATACTGTATCTACCCAAAACACTTATCAAAGATTTCTGTGAGATAATGGCAACTTTTCAGTACTCTTTTAACATAGTTTGCTGAGGAGTATTTTGCATTTGGTTCTAATTCTGGGCCACAAATACCTTGTCTGCCAAATACACAAATAGACATTATTCTAAAGGAGGAGGTGATTTATGACATGAAAGTTTTGTATCTTCACAAGGTCCCAGGAGAGCCTTGGAGGTACTTTTCTTCCTGTCTTGCTGTCTCTCCTGTAATAAGGATGTGGCTTATATTTCCTTAGAGCATGTGGAGCTTTTAATGCCCTGGCATTTGGATGCTCTCTGGAGAAAGAGGTGGGAGAGACGTTCCTTCAGCTCCTTGTCAGGCAGTGGCTGTGCCTTGTTAAGCATTAAGAACAAAACCAGAAATGGAAAAAAAAAAATAGAGGCTCTGTGCTTGTGTTTCATTAGTGCTGTTGGCTTGATGCCCAACTATGTCAGGAAAAAGTTCCTTTCTTTAGAAATTCAGAGTATTGATTAATGCTGTGTTAGGGACTTTAGACTGAGGAGACACACTCTGCCAAAGATGCCCTCTCTGACAGGGAGTGCTTGGAGGGCCAAGTAAGATTTGACACTAATCTCAGACCACAGCACAGAGCCACCAAATGAGGCCCTCAAAGTCAGAGCTTTCAGCTGAAAAAGGATAAGCTTCACTGCAGAGGTCAGCCTATTCATGTGTCCAGAACAAGAGAGAGCTTTAAAAATTGGAAGAGCAAGGACAATCCTCTGCAAGGCTCAGTACATTTCCACACTGCTCTGTCTTTCATGGTTATTTAAGCATCCTCCTGAAGCTCAGGCATGTGACAGTGACTTTTAAAACACATGACAAAGATAACAGAATGACAAGCCTTAAACAACATGGGATGCACTTCTCTGATATTTGCAGAGCTTCTCTCTCCTCTCTTCCTTTTACAGGATTTTCAGTCTGAACAATTTACAGTAATAAAAATAAGATGTCATTAGATGAGGAGAGACGGGATAGAGGGAGGGGAGGAATGAGCAGTATGTCAGACGAAGAAAAGTAATAGCTCTGACCTCTCAAAGTCAGTGTGAATTTGCCCAGGGCATGGATTTCAAACTGATTTTAACTACCCTGCAAGTGAATTCTCTCTCCCTCCATGAACTTCATAGTGTTCAGTTCCAGATCTGAAAGCTGTACTGAGAGCACAAGGCTGTGCATGTAAGATGTAGCTGGCAAGTACAGTATGCCTCTAAATTTGGACAAGCTGATCAAAAATCACCTTGAAGTACACAAACAAACCTCCCAAGAAGTACCTTTGAATGAAGTAGTTAATGATAAGTGGCTTTTCCCTATCCTTGGTTTACTTAACCATTGTATGCTGTTTATTTCAGGAGTGATTCGGGAGAGTTACCTGAAGGGTCACGATCAGCTGGTGCCAGTTACCCTGCTGGCCATTGCAGTAATTCTTGCTTTTGTCATGGGGGCCGTCTTTTCGGGAATCATAGTGTACTGCATCTGCGACCACCGCCGCAGAGATGTAGCTGTTGTGCAGAGGAAGGAGAAGGAGCTCACCCACTCCCGCCGCGGCTCCATGAGCAGCGTTACCAAGCTCAGCGGCCTCTTCGGAGATGCTCAGTCCAAGGAGCCAAAGCCTGAAGCTATCCTCACGCCCCTGATGCACAATGGCAAGCTGGCGACCCCAGGCAGCACTGCCAAGATGCTAATCAAGGCCGACCAGCACCACCTGGACTTAGCTGCCCTGCCAACCCCTGAGTCTACCCCAACCCTGCAACAGAAGAGGAAGCCGAGCCGTGGCAGCAGGGAATGGGAAAGAAACCAGAACCTCATCAATGCCTGCACAAAAGATATCCCTCCAATGGCCTCTCCCGTGATCCCAACCGACCTGCCGCTCAGGGCTTCTCCTAGCCACATCCCTAGCGTTGTGGTCCTGCCCATTTCCCAGCAAGGCTACCAGCATGAGTACGTCGACCAGCCAAAAATGAGCGATGGGGCTCAGATGTCTGTGGAGGACCAGAATGCTACCCTTGAGTACAAAACCATCAAGGATCACCTCAGCAGCAAAAGCCCCAGCCACGGGGTTAACCTGGTGGAGAGTCTCGACAGCATGCCGCCAAAGGTGCCCCAGCGGGAAGCCTCCCTTGGGCCCCCAAGCACCTCGCTGTCCCAGAGTGGCCTGAGCAAGCGGCTGGAAATGCATTCCTCTGCCTACAGCGTGGACTACAAGAGGAACTACCCAACAAATTCGCTCACAAGAAGTCACCAGGCATCAACTCTCAAAAGAAACAACACCAACTCCTCTAACTCGTCCCACCTCTCCCGAAACCAGAGCTTCGGCAGGGGTGACAACCCACCACCCGCTCCACAGCGAGTGGACTCCATACAGGTCCACGCCGCGCAGGCACAGGCCGTGACTGTATCTCGACAGCCGAGTCTCACCGCGTACAACTCTCTGACGAGGTCAGGGCTGAAACGCACGCCCTCGCTAAAGCCAGACGTACCTCCCAAACCTTCTTTTGCTCCACTGTCCACATCCATGAAGCCCAATGATGCATGTACATAATCACAGTGGGGTGGGGGGTAGAACAGCAATTAAGCAGAGGTTGCCCTTGAAAGCCAGTGTTCTGCAACTGCTCCTCTGAGAAGATGGTTGTTGCAAGCTGAGGATGTGTTGATTCTGCTCTCTGGGAAAAGTGGAATATTTTTTTAACCCGAGCCATATGACCCATGGTTGAAGGTTTGCAACTGCAGGACTCTCCCCCACAGCCCTCCGGTTCTTTGCTCAAAAGACTAACTCTCCATCACAAACATTGAGCCAAAAGCACACAGGTGAAAGATGACCGTGACGTTTCACCCTCCCAACTGCACAGTGCATTCCTGAACTGGGAAAGAGTGCTCTGAAAAGCAAAACCCATAATTACAAAAACAAAAGAAAAAAAATATTAAAAAAATAAATAAATAAAAAAGAATGCATTGATAAAGCTAACTCTGACTTAACAATGGCAGAAGTTTACTAAGTGCAGGTACTGTGAAATGCCCAACAGTGTTACAGCCATTTGGTTACAGCAGTTAAATGCCATGCTGGGCGAACTATGTCATAGATTTCTGCTACCCTTCTCTTTTAATGAATAACATGTGACTGTTAACGCAAGTAACTCCTCTTATTTATTGTTCAACTTTCATTTTTCCTAAGGAAATGACTTCTGCATATCATCCTGTGAGCAGCTCTTCAGAGAAGTACCTTGAAAGTTATACCTATTTAACGTGAAACCTATTAACTGGAGTAATTAAAACTCTTTTATTTTTCCAATAAATCCACTGAGTTAAATAAGTTGGAGCTGGAATTCTGAACTTTGTGCCTGGACTGTCTGATTAGCTGAAAAACAAAACAAAACAAAACAAAACAAAACAAAACAAAAAAAAAACGGGGATATCTATTTAAGTCTCTCAGCTAATTAGCCGGCTGGGCCTCTGACCTAAGACAGCAACAAACAAATACCACAAGTTCATAACTTCTAACGCAACTGCAAGAGAAACTCTTAAAAGCCGCACATTTGTGCACCATTGCTATCAACATGGCTTTGTCAGTAGCTAATACTTTCTGTGAAGGCACCAGCTTGTGATGTGCCATCTCATTTCACCTTGCATGTGAGACGGCAAACAAAATCCTCAAACAGTGTGAACTAGTTAATATGCCGGCTGTTACCATGCATAAATTATGGTCTTATCACACGGGTTTTTCGTGGGAATATATCTGTGAATAGCCTGTTTTCTTCCACATGTAAATTTGTGCCTTACACCCTCAGTTGTGTATAATTGTGAGCTGTAGTATGTAAAACCTTTTTCTTTTTCTCCTTGGAGTAATGCAAATATTTATTGGTCCTTCCTCCTCTAAGCCCTCTCAAGAATCAGACAGAGCAAAGACATTCAAAGAAGAATGTAGTGGCTGTTGGCACAACCCCATGTCCCTCAAGATACGGGCCAGTGCCGAACCCTCCAGGTCAGTCCCACTTTCAGCTGTGCCAAGTCCTCTCCCGAAACCACCCTCCAGCTGTGCTGCCCCAAAGGCACCGTGCCGCCCTTCCCTGCCTCCCGTGCCCCGTCTACAGTGATCATTCTCCCTGGGCAGCAGAGAAGCCACAAACAACCTTGTCCCCTGGGGCTGGCGTATTGCCTGGCTGGGGACAGGCACCAGCGAGTGGTGCCAAGCCCCGCAGCACACCCAGTCACACGTCCCGCAGCACGCAGGGCACACGGAGCTAGGACAGGCAGGCAGGCTCCTGCTGCAGCTACCTGCTGCTCCAGAAGGATGCTGCATATACTCCTCTGGGAAAAAAAAAATGTATTTTTTTTCTTTGTTTCTTTTGTGTGACTGTGCATGTAGCTAGTGTGGGAGTGTGCGCGCACACAGGTGTGTGTGTGTGTGTGTGTGCGCGCAGGCGTGTAAGTTCCTTTCCAGTCTTTCAGTTTATGCAAAAATGTAGATGTGTTTTTAATCTGTTACAATAACTGTGTCAACATACTGTAGACAAACGATGGGGATCGCTTCTAAGCTTTTTATATATATATATATATCTACTGAACAGTATGTTTGAGTAAGGTGGTTGTTTCTGTTTCAATTTGTTTTTTAAAATTTTATACTTCCATTTGTTTTTCAGGGTTTTGGTTTTGTTTCTGAATGACTGAAAAGACAGATTTTAAGTCCATTAGCTTATAGATGGTATATATAAAGTCTGGATGGTCTAGACCAAAGTGTGTAACAAGGGTGCTTGCATGTTCTTTCATTTCATCATGGCTTCTTTTATGAAATAATTGTGTTCACCCTTAGTGAACTATGCAGACTGGAGTAGATAGATCTGTATCCAAAGCAATGGTGTTGTTTTAATAAAAACAAACAAACAAACAACAACAACAACAACAACAACAAAAAAAAAAAAAAAAAAAAAAAAAAAAACAACTTTGAAAACTGTAGGTAGCAAGGTCATTTTTGAAGAGAACCCACTCACAACTCTCTCACCAAGCTCCAAACCCCCTGAGTACCAAATGCACAGGCCCCATTGCTATGACTCAGCAAAGCGTCCTGTCAAAATGCAGAAGTGAATAATCACAGCAGCAGCTTGTACAGCAACCTGCCTTTGTAATATACATCTTGTCCGCTACCAGCTTGACCTTGAAATTCTCATTTGGTACTCAGTGGGTCTTCTCTGCTTGTCCTTCCCTGTCACTGGTTCCCTTCCACCCCTTGTTTTGAGGGGTTCATAAACCTATGTGTGCCTTTGCTTTCCACCCTTGCTATACACTGGTAGATGCAACAAATTCAGACTCTCATTTGTTGTAAAGTTGTAGAGTATCGTGATGTCACCAGTTTCCCTACATTTCCACATCCCCCTAACATCTGATTCACAACTTAATGTATGTTGTAAAAAAAAATAAAAAAGAAAAGAAAAAAAAAAAAAAGGAAAAAAAAAAACAAAGAGAGAGAGAGAAAACAAGAAAGATAAAGAAAGAAATGAGAAGATAAAGGGAAATAAAAGCTCTTGATTACATATGGTAATAAAACCAGACTGTTCTACTTTATTTCTTGTGTCCCAATTCTTTGGTTCCTATGAGGATTCATCTTTTTCCTTCAAAAATAAATAAATAAATAAATTCAATGCTGATCATTTAGGCCAGGTTAGAGAAATAAATTTGTTGTTTTCTGTCTCTTGAAGATGAACTTGACTTTAGAATAAGGCGATGGTAATTAAAAATTGAATCACACATTTGCTCTCCCTCTATTCATATTCCACATTTTCTTTTTATGAGCTTGTTCATCATCAAATATTTATGGCAGACTTGATAGTTTAAGAGATCAAGGATGGGATTTAAGCACACGTGGTCCACCAAAATAGATCATCATACAGATATGACTTCATTTCCAGGTTTTGCACATTAATAATGGGGGAGCCTGTGTTTTCTTTTAGCAGGCATAAATCTCTTGTGCTTTATAGGCCTGATCTAGAGGATGTTGCCTGAGACTTTAATTCTGCAAGAAAATGGTAGTAAACAGATAAATAACAAAAGCATATACAATGTCCCTCATCCTGACAGTGATTAAAACGTACCAGCATCCTCCGCATGGATATTGTGTAAGTGCGGACAACATACTCACAGCCTCTCCCCTGAAGCTGAACACTCATCTGCTTTGGTAACTGGACTTAGTAGTTTTGTTTTGTAACACAGCTTTGTGTTACCTGCTAGAAACTTGGCAGAGTGTGTCATTTTCAGTCTACAGCTGTGAAGATACACTGTCCAGCTTGTTCTGAAACCTTTCATACAAGCTGCATCTAGGGAAGCTACACAAAGGTAGAGATACCTCTATATTAACATTAATATTAGTATTCCTCTATAAATAACTGCAGGCTGCTGTTTCATTGCTCCTTCTTGTTTGTTTTTCTAAGTTAAATAACCCCTGGTCTTGCTAAAGGTGTCCCTCAGCTGTGTGCTGTGCCAGATGGCCTTAGTCATTCCCATGGATCAGGCTTGGCCTGGGGAGAGGCACCAGGATCGCCTCTGGCAGCAGCACCAGCTGACTCTCTAACAAGGCTCATCCTGCTGTTGCCAGTGAGAGGAAAGTCATGTTAAAGCATGGGCACGAGGGAGGGAGTGAGGGAAGGGGGAGCCCTATAGGCTCTGCAACTTTTCTGCCTGTGTGCCACAGATTTCTTCCCAAATGGGGGTGTTAAACCTTAAAGCAATTTTCCTTCTCAGTGTTTCCCCAGGGCCCATGCACATAGTCACCAGGAGAGCTCTGTCTCACCATATGGCTGTGCAGATAGGACCAACTAAAGGACACAGGGTGTGTCAGATCCCATTGCCCTGGTGGGAAATGGGTCTGCGAAGCAGCAGGATGCTGACAAGGTCAGGTTGCTCCACTGAGCACCCACAGCTCACCCAGGAGAGGCAGTGCCCTCAGCATTTCAGTTCAGATGATCGAGTAGGGTGGCTTTTGACAGGGGAGAAGACCTCGAAGCTATCTGTATGGTGAGATCCATCCCCTGCAGGAAGCACTGGTGCCACTCCATGGAAATCAATGGGTTTGGCCTGGACAAAGAAGATACACATGAGAAGCAGGGTTGATGATCTGAGCAGTTTGACTGAGTTAATGTTAACTTATTCATCATAGTAATGGTACTCATGTTAGCCTCATTTAGCATGTCATTGAGGATGCATGGAAGTTCCTTTCCAATCAGCATTAATTTCAACAATTTTTTTTTTACAGAAACGTAACCTAGCTGATTTAATCAAAGCCATAGGTAAAAAAATCACATTCCACTGCCCTCCTCTCTCCTCTCCCTCCAGTAGAGACACCTTTTCAAACTACACAGGAGTGTAATTTCAAACACAACCTTGTTAAGTCCTGCCCCATTGCAGCTTTGACAACAGAGAATATTTTGCATCTGGAAGATTCTCAGGTGAAAAGTTGCAGGCAGAAACACAAGAAAAGCATGGGCTTTTCAGAGCTGTTTACGCACAGAAAGACAGATGATTTTGCATAACAGGAGTTGGTACCACAGCAGTGATGCACCGATATTGGGAAAAACATAGTGGCTCAGCCAGTGGTTTGAGTCATTTTTGGGATGTGACTCCAGATCATTCCTCCAACACAAAACCAGCCAGGGTAAGATTGCTCTCCTGGGGCTGGACATGAATTCCTGCTCTCCACAGCTTGCTTTTAGATCTTGTTTAGAGCAATGTAGAGGACCCAAAGTGGGGTCTTGTCTGCTTCACATTGCAGCAGGATCAAGCAAGCTTAACCCATTCTTGCCAGCTGTTTGTCCAACCTCTCCCTTGTGAAAGCAGTTTACTCTGCGAAGAAGCAAAAACCACCCAAGGGAGCAGCACCAGGCTTTTCAGAGTGTCTAAAGAAAATAATAAGCTAAGACAGTAAGTTGTACTGGCTTAGTTAAGACCAGTTTTCTATTTATCCAATTAAAGTTAATTTCCCAGAAGTATGGCACCTGCTCGAACCAACAAGTGTTAGAGGCACACACTGTGTGTGTAATATTCATACATTTCCTGCAGTGTGCCTGCTAATGAGTCTCTGAGTGGTCTTTTTACTACTTTTTTTGCTTTTTAAGAAAGGAGGTACTTCTCTTTTTGGAATAAGCACTAAGACCATCATCACATGCCTTGTGCAGGAAAACGATGATGTGTTAGACTTCTTTGTATGAATAGAAACAGGTAAATAGTCATCTGTCCCCTGCCTTTGTAATTTAAACAGTGTAAGTCAGTAGGGAAAGGCTATAATTGGAGTCAGAGTAAGTGAGGTGAAAATTGCTAGGTGGCAGTACCATCTGCATCTTGTTTTAATTAGCCAAGTTTATTATCAGAATATAAAACTTTCTGCTATTCAAGTCCTTGGCTTATTTCAACCATCAGTCCAAAGCGATTGCCACATGTCTAGGTAAGCACAATTACTGATCAGCAAAGGAGAATTATCCTCCCCACTGATCTAGCTAACAGTTACCGTGTCTGGGAGTAGGGACAAAAATATGACTAACCAAGATCATTGTCACATCTGCTTAGTGTTTCATGACAAACTCTATTAAGGCTAACAGCACCACTGTTAATTCAATTAGATCAGTGTTTTCCTTTGCTGGCCATGATGCATTTGGAAGGCCAGCAACTGTAGGCAGAATGTGGCTGGCAGTCCGCTGCAAGGAATAATAGCATCATAAATAATATATTAAGACGAAGACAAATCTAGCAGGCTGCAGTCAGAGCACATCAGCCATAGAGCTGAACCCTGCAATATCACAAGGGGGGAGGAAAAGAGCAGCTCTGACAGGAAATTATAACAACTATAAATGACAAGGACCCAAACTCGCTAGGTCAGCTCTTTAAGCAGAGTGCTGGGGGAGCACAGGGCAGCGGGCCTGCAGCAGTGCAGGCACTGCCTGCCCCCATGTGCACCCTCCTTAGGATGAAGGAGAAGACCCCATATACTGGGCGTGAGGGAGAGCAATGGGCATGGACAGGGCTCAGCAGGTTCCTGGCCTGGTCTCTATGTGGGGCATGTGTGGTTTGGGCCACAAGTCCGCTGCTGCTGCTGCCTTCTGGATTTTGGCGATTGGATGGCAACACATTGGCACACAGGCACAGATACATGGTGGCGAAAACCAAGTGAGACTTGTGCTCACAGAAACCCTGTTTCAGCATCTTCTGTGGTCAAAGGGGAAAAAATGAAGCACAACATGCTAGAGTAAAGGCATTGGCAACAGCTTCCTAAAACAACTTCTAATTTGTTTTTAATGCTGACTTGCTGTGTAGAGAAAGACACCCTACATTATGTGTATGTATGGGGAGAACTAAGATTTTATTTCTCTGACTTAGAAAGGATGACATAATCTTATCAGTTCTCAACAAACTGAAGTATTCAGTCTGCTGATAAAGGTATTGCCTCTGTTGGTGCAGCAAACTGCAGATTGAGCCTTTTTTAATGCTGCTTAAATTGCCTGTGAAGCAGCCTTTTATGAGATATGGTGGTTCAAACAATTTTGCAAAGAGCAGGAGACAAAGAGTTCGTTTTACACTAAACTGGTTTCCTAGGAAACACTGCAAAATGTAACATGATATCTCTTTGTGGAAGTTCAAGGACTTGTGTGTGTGCATGTGTTTCTCCTGACCCTCTTTTTTTTTATTATTTTTTTGGTGCGGTGTTTGGTTTCGCTGGCCAATTTTACCTTTTGATGGTATCGACAAGAACAGCACAGGTCTGTACTACAGCAACCCGCAATCTGAAGGGCATTTTTCTCTTTGATAAACAAATGTCTTCTCTAAACAGAAAAGAAAAATCTTGATCCAAACCAAGACTCTTCACCCGCAGCCCTATTGTTTAAGAAAAAGGAAAAGCAATGACTGGGAGTCCTTGAAGAAAAATTTCAGGCTTCACACAGTCTTCACACCTGGCCCAGCATGTTTTCTCGTCAGTGTGGAGCCTGCAATGCTAATCAGAGACCTGGACAGGTGTGTTGCAGAAAGGCCAGGGTATTAAAGCTCAGGAAGCTGCCCTTCTGAGAGGAGCACTTTGTCCTTGCCTGTGTGCAAGCAATGTGTCCCCAGAATGGTGCAGTTTCTAGCTGGGAAAAGCCAACTCTCTATCTAAGCAAGAGAGAGCCACGTCTGAAATTACCTGCCCACATGCCTTTTCCACGTGGCTTCTTTTAATCTCACCACTAGCACAATCTTAGAGTTGACAACAGTGGCGCAATATAAAACCCTTTCCTCAGTCCTGACACAACCTTATTCTCCGAGCCAGGTGCACTGACATCCCCTACCCTGCCAGCTGCACCCAACATGTCCTAGATGACGTTTTTTTTTTTCAGTTTTGTCCAGCCCCAGAATCACTGGAAAGTGGCAGGGCAGCCAGAAGCCATTCTCATGTTACCAGGATGGAGTCTGAGGAGTGCAGGCCACACGCCCACACGCACTGCACCGCTGCCCTGCCCTCATTGCCAGGCCTTCCCTTCTCATTCATCCTGGGAGTAGAGTCAAACTGGAGCACACACAGTGACTGTCCAGGGCTGGTCCTGGGA